AGGAGGAGGAGGAGGAGGAGGAGGAGGGGAAGGTGGAAGAGGAATAGGAGGAAGTTAGAGGTAGCGGGGCAGTAGAGTAGTCAGAGGTAGTTGGCGGCAGAGAGGACGAGGAAGAGTCGAGCGGAGAGACGGCGGTTGTTGCGGTCCGAGAGGTACAGTTGATCCGAAGATGTCCAACAAGTCCAATTCGAGCCCAAAATGTCCCTTGACATCGAGGACACGTTGGTAGCGGTTAAGCGTCGGCGTTGCGGACAGGGCGAAGTTGTGATTTGCGGGCTTCGCGTTTCACTTTGGCGGCAGCGATGCGGTTGGCTTCGTAGATGGCAGCGCCAGTCTTCACTGTTCTCCTCCAGGTCGGACGATCGCGGGCGAGCTCTACCTATTTGGTCGGGTTGATTTGCAGGCGTTTCTGGGAGGACTTCAGAGTGTCCTTTTATCGACAAATTTGCCCACCTTGGCGGCGAGAACCCGTCGGGACCTCTCCATAGAAGAGTCGTTTGGTAGTCGCTAGTCGTCCATGCGCACAAGGTGGCCGCTCCAATGCAGCTGTATTTGTATCAGTATGGCGTAGATGCTGAGGATTCCCGTCCGTTCCAGCACATCAGTGTCGGGGATGCGGTCCTGCCAGTTCAGCCTCAGGATGCGACGGAGACAACTGAGGTGGAAGTGCTTCAGTCGGCGTGCCAGCTTTGTGTACACCGTCTAAGTCTCCGCTCCGTATAGCAGCGTCGGCAGGATGGCGGCCTTGTACATCTTCAGATTCGTGTTCAGTTGGAGACCGTGACGATTCCAAACTGTGCTTTGGAGGAGACCGAAGGCTTGACTGTCTTTTGAGATCCTGTTGGCGACTTCGTCATCGATCTTGGTGTTGCGGCAGAGAGTACTGCCCAGGTACGGGAAGTTCTCCACCACTTGCAGTTGGGTTCCGTTCACGCTGATTTGCGGCTCGTTGGGGGGTGTGGCTGAGTTGGGTGGCGGTTGATGCATCACCACCGTCTTCTGCGTGTTGACGGCCAGCCCAAAGTCCTCGCAGGCGGCGGAAAACAGGTCCATGCTCCGTTACATCTCCTCTTCCTTGGTGGTGTTCAGGGCGCAGTCGTCGGCGAAGAGAAGCTCGTGAACGTTGGTTGTGGATACGCGCAATTGGAAGTGCATCCGTCGTTGATTCAGCAGGTGACCGTCCGTCCTGTAGGTGATGCGGATCCCGGGGCGTTCGTCGCGGTAGGCGTCCATCAGCATGACAGAGAACAAAAAGCTGAAAAGGGTAGGCGCCAGCGCGCATCCCTGCTTCACTCCGTTGGTCACTGCGAATGCCTCTGAGACAGCATCGTTGTCCGTGACTCGCGCCATCATAGCGTCGTGCAGCTGACGTACCATCTGATTGAATCGCTCCGGACAGCCGAATTTCTGCATGATCTTCCACAGTCCTTCACGATTCACCGTGTCGAAGGCTTTCGTCAGGTCCACGAAGGTAGAGTACAGGTGGGTCCGCATCTCCTGGCACTTCTCCTGAAGTTGAGGGGCGGCGAAGATCATATCCGTGGTCCCACGATGGCGACGGAAGCCGCATTGGCTTTCCGGCAGAAGGCCCCGCTCGAGATGGTTATTGAGGCGGTTGAGAAGGATGCGAGCGAATATCTTCCCGGTGCTGTTTAGCAAGGAGATACAGCGGTGATTGACGCAGATTTGGCGGTTCCCTTTTCGCTTGTATAGGTGCACGATTGTTGCGTCCTTGAAATCTTGCGGGACTTTACCTTGACGTCACATCTCTTGGAAGAGCGCAGTCAGGCGATCCATCAGTTGGGGACCTCCGTGCTTGCAGACCTCAGAGGGGATTGCGTCCGATCCGGGTGCTTTCCCGCTGGAGAGCTGCTGCACGGCCCTGATGGTCTCCTGGAGAGATGGCGGGAGGTCGAGGTCCACGTTGTTCTCCACTTGCGGCAGGCGGTCGATGGCGGTGTCTGAGATGGCGGAGGGGCGGTTGAGGACGCCTCGAAAATGCTCAGCCATCGCTGTAGAATTTGCGTCTTCTCGGTCAGGAGGGTATAACCGTAAACGCAGAGGAGAGGAGCAGTGCCCTTCGTCGGCGGACCGTAGACAGCTTTGATCGCAGTGGAGAAGTTCTTCCATTCGTTGCGGTAAGCGTAGCCTTGGATCTCCTCAGCTGTGCGAGCAGTCCAGGCGTCCTGCATCTCGCGCAGTCGTTGCTAAAGCTGGCGGCGACTGCTGTAGAAGGCAGCTGCTTTCGATATTAAAATAATCCCTGCGGATTTTAACCTTCCTGAAATGGACTGAGTTTCCAATATCTGTCCACCTAAATTCCAGCCCTTTCAAGATATTGTCAATTTTTCTAATTGGTCCCAACTGGTGCGCTCTCCAACAAGAGATAATCACATTTTAGATCTAATCTTTGCCAATGACATCGCTTCTCTTATTGTTGCTTTCAAAAATACCTCTTTGACAGTGACCACGTATTAATTCCTTGTTGCTTACCGCTTGCCTTTTAAAAAAAGAACAGTACCCTTCGGACTTACCCAAACTACGATTGCGTAGAAAACGACTTATTAAGTGACTATATTAGATCTTCAAATTGGTGTAGTTTTCTCTCCTGTATCGATGCAACCCTTCTTCCTGATGTCTTGTCCAATGTTTCCAAGGACATCCCGGAGTTTGTGTCGCGTAGATATCTGAAACCTAATTCTTCAGATTTCCTTGTTCCTTATTTTCTTCGCAATAAACGAAAAAGTTGAGACGGCAGCTGCGTGACCCATCCACTAGTTCCTTATCAGTTCATCTTAGAATCACTGAGATTTTTGAGATGGCCTCAAGGATGCGCCGAGCACGACAGGCAAAGAGCATCACTTGCCCTCAGTGATTCGAACCCTTGCAAATCCCTCGCTGACATCCTCCGTCATTGGTCCTCCTCTAAACGTGGTCACAAACTTCCACCCCTGCTAAACGATAACAAAATCTTCCTAATCGATGAGACTGACAAGGCGGAGTAGTCTAGCGCTTTCTTTGCAAATCACCTTACTATTGAATCATAACCATCCCCTCTCTTTGGTTCGCTTTCAGATAGGACACTGAGTAGAATCGATGTCTCCTCGGATATTATTTACAAACATATAAGTCGTTTTAAACATTCGCATTGCACAGCAACAGACGGGATTCCAAATTCGATTATTAAACAAGCATCCGACCATCCTATATTGCTTAGTCATTTATTCTCGGTTTATATATCTGGCAATTTTTTCCGAAAACATCGAAGACATCAATTATCATTCCTGTCTTCAAGTATGGATCTCAATTGGATGTTAATAACTGTTTGACGCGCACAAATCTCCGTCTCTATCAAGGCTTCTTAGATGGATAATTTTCCATAAAATTCTTGGCTTCAGTCTAATTAATCGGCTTCTGAGCTCTGGTCAGCATGGGTTTCTACCTGAACGGTCTTGCAAAACTTGCACTTGGCATTTCTTAATCTAATCATTTCTCCTCCTTGTAAACAGCTCTCTGTGGTACTTTTTTACTGTGATCTTAGCAAAGCCTTTGAAAAGGTGCCACATAGACGTCTTTTAGTAAAGTTGGAATCTCTCTGTATCTGACCACCTCTACTCCACTTTATCTGATCCTTTCTATCCAACTGCAATCAGACAGTCATGGCTGGTAAGAATTACTCAAAAACTCACTCGATCAAGGCACTGTTATGGGTCCGCTTCTCTTCCTTCATCATATCCGTGATAGTTTAACTGTAACCATAAATTTGCAAACTTTTATTTATGCCGATGACCGCAAGTGTGTTTACGTATATTCTAAGGACACTGCAAATGTTTGTATTGAAAACTTAATGCCGATTTACTACGCTTAAGCAGTGAAGTTCAACACGGCAGATGGAGTATTCACCGTTCAAGTGCAGTTTCATGTCTTTTGGTTCTGCCAAACTTCCTGGTCCCATGATTTTTCAGAATAATCCACTCTCAGAAGGCCTCACTATGAAGGACCTAGGTCTTAGTTATACAAATAAACTTGCTTTATCACCCCATGCAGATAGAATCTCTGCCAAAGCCGTGCAGATATGTGGATTCATGTCGCATAATTTTTCTCCTCCGGAAAAGAAGCTAAGACTTTCTCAAATGTTTGTTCTTCCAGTCTTCGAATACTGCTGTCCTTTCTTCGGTTTAATGAACGCCTGCGACCGCTATAAGATTGAAAATGTTCAGAGGGTTTTCACCCGGGAACTGTTCACTCAAGCTTCGTCCGGTATTTCTTATACTCAGAGATGTCAGCTGGCGAACATTAAGTTTTTGTGGGTTAGAAGACTCGAAGCTGGCCTCTGCTTCCTTTGTCGCACCAACTCTAGTTCCAGTCTTCCGCTCATTTACACTCTCACCCGGCCTTGTTGTTTAACTGCGACCTTGTCAGACCTGTTCTGTTTGACTTGCTTGTTTTTCGGACTTGGTTTTGGTTACCGCATTGGAAGTGTGCGAAGAAGTTGACGAAGAGAACTCCTGGGAGAAGCTTGAAAAGAAGGCGGAACAGAAATGGTTATTGCGCATGTTTGCATTCTCAATAAACGTTCTTACCACCAATCTATCCTAATTTACGTGCGCTTGTGCTTCGAGACCAATGAGTTCACTTCACACAAGTCTACAGGATTCCGTCCACGGGGACATTCGACAATGTGGTAATAAGAGAAATCGTACACGGACTGTCGCCTGGAGGAAGAACATTAACCCCTATCTCTACGTGGCTCAGAGGTTAAACCACCACTGGTTAGTGGGTTTGGAGACTTGCAGATACAACCAAGAATAGTCTTTCTTTGCGGCGACAGAATGATAAATGAGTAACAAAAATTTGCAGAAAATGAGGGAGAGTTCAGGCTGTACTTAGCGTGCTCTAAGGAATATTTTTCGTAAAGAAGGCAACCGCACCCACGCCTGCTAATGCGGTCTTGACGGTAAAAATGAAAATCATCTATGAAAAGGGAAGAGTTAGGAAATCATCCATTCGTCCAGAATCAAGTAATGAATACAATGTCGGGTGCCATTTCAAAAGAAGCGACTCAAAGTTGACTGATCTTATTTATAACAGACCCGACATTTAAAAGTATAATATTTAGCGTATTCAGAGCAGTGTGGTTATGGACAACGATATTCAGAAAAAATAATCTAGAGATTAATAAGCAGGCTCTAAATCATTGTTGGCCTAAGAAGAAGCAACACCGGTACCAGAAGTATTGACATTTAGAATCAGAAATAATAGGCTGAGAAGGAGATCCGAAAGATTTCTAGACTGTTTTTCAATATAGGAAAAGCATAAGAGTTTAAACAGTATAAACCCGTTGGTATTTAGTATGGCAAGGGGGTAGGCTAATGGGAGAGCTAAGGCAGCTGTGAGACTTAAATGGTAAGAAACTAGGACCGGGATGGAGATTAAAGTAGACAAATTGCCTCACGTAAGAACTATTGGCCTTATGTGGTGGGAAGCCACAGGTGAGATGGAAGTTAAAGGATTTATGATGACTTACGTGAGAGCGCTTGGTAGTATAAGCAATAAGTCCTCTGTTGGTATCCGGTGTGCCGAACAAAGAATTATTTGGAGCTATGATTGGATTTACAGGGCTTACAGACGAGCCGGGCTGCGTAGGTTTAATAAATCTAAAAAAGACATCAGCCAGTTAAATGAAACTAAGCTGCATTTCGTTTGCGGGAAAGTCGGATTCAGTTAATGAATCACGTGGTTCCTACGTTATATATTAACCAATTTAAATAGAAAACGTGGAGGACTGGTTTGGGATGTGGAAGCTATCGGTCTGGGGGATTTAAAAAGAATCGCGGGCGCTACGGGAGGGCTATCAGAAGAATAAAAAACCACAGCTACAGTTTCTGCAAATCTAGAGGCAAAGGAGGCATTTTGAGGTGGCCTGATGAGGGGAAAATATAAGTGAAGGCGACCATGGAAAAGTAGGATTAACTGGCATTTCAGGGTTAATAATGCCCTCTTCGTAATGATGGGTATCTGCGCGAGAAGACGAGGACCCTTTTGAGAAGAGATCCAATTCTTCGTCCCATCGGTGTGAGGTCGTAGGAAAGGAAAAGTTTGCCTCTTCGTTTAATCATACACTATCTCGGCGGACGAAAATCGAATTAATCTCAATAGGTGAAAACATCTTAAATAAAAGAGGGAGATTTTCGGCTAAGGGATGACTGACATTTGACATCCGCTATTTTGTAGTTGAGTCTACACGAGTAAATGAAGTCAGTAGCAACATCACCTGGCCGTGTTGACCTGGAAATATTTAATAGTGAAGTTAAAACTCCTTTTTTGGCGATCAAACATTCTCCTGGAATCCAAGTGAACGACTGAGCTAAAACGTTAACTGTCCTGAAAGGGAATATCAGAGATAATCCTGTCGAACAGTTTGCCAAGAGTGGAGGGAATAGAGACCAATTTCGAAATAACATCAAGGCAGTCGTATGATGCAGGAAAATTCACTTGCTTAACGTTGGCAACGGATTGCAAATAGTTGTTTATGCTTTCTGAACTAGATTAACTTAAGCAATGCCAAGGGACAGAGACAGGGAGCTTTCGGCTACCAGTTACATACATCTTCACCCTGTCTACAATTGAGCTGCAACCGATTAAGAATTTCAAACATATTTTATGTCGGAATTTCCTTCAAAATTTAATAACAAGGAATTGTGCACCATAGTGGACAAATAAACCGCACAAAATGCGGATTGTAGAATGTAAAGAGCAATCAACAGGCCAAATCTAGAAAGAACCGAAGGGAAATCGCAGGTGAAAACAATGAAGGCATGAGCGCCCATCTTCGAAAACTAATTTAAAAAACAAAGATTAGTATATTTATAATCCCTTAAAAAGACCTTTTCTGAACATCCTTCACTTATCGTTTAATGTTCGATCAACCGACTTGATCTTATGTGTATGATACTTGCCTCATGGCCTTCTGCAGTCCGAATTTCCTCAAGGAGTTGGGAAGGCGGGGATCCGTCCAGCAATCGGTGTTGCAGATCGCCTTCGCAACAGTTCGTCATGTTGATCTCGCCTCCAGCCGAGAAGGTAATCCATTAGCTGTCAGCTTCGCCATCTAGTGGGCATCCAGGTTA